ATATCTAATAAACTGAACCTTTTGTATTTTTATTTATTGCTGAAATAAAAACTTTGTACATATTCAATTCATTGTTAAGGTGTGTTAGAGGTCTGTAGTTAACCATGTCAGTTTCTTTTTTTCATTTTTATAGCTTGAAGATAAACTCACTGCTGAGAAATTGATAGAATGGACAAGCTCACAGAATATGAGCAAGAGAGATGTGGATTTATACTTACCTCGGTTCAAAGTGGAAGAGAGATATGACCTCCGGGCCATGTTGATGGCCATTGGGATGGTGGACGTTTTCTCCCCGCAGGATGCCGACCTCACAGGCATGACTGGGAGCCGTGGTCTTGCGGTGACTAAAGTCCTACACAAGTCATTTGTAGAGGTCACGGAGGAGGGAGCGGAGGCTGCCGCTGCCACGGGCATAACTGTCAAGATAACATCTGCTCGTTATCCAGTTCATGAAGAGTTCCATTGTAATCACCCTTTTCTATTCTTCATCAAGCAAAATAAGACCAACAGCATCCTCTTCTTTGGCAGAGTCTCTTCCCCTTAGATGTGATTAGCCTGTAACTTTTGGAAGACGCTCACAGAGTTCTTCCAGTAAACTGATGGCTGGAAACAATAAGTTGTCTTGATTCATTTTTCTTTTCAATCTCATAGTCATCACCAAGAATTTAATGATTGAAATAGCATGTCTCTCTGTCTTTCTCTTTCTAAACACACATATAAATCTACTTTCTCTCCAATGCAAATTGCCTTTGGGGAAAAATGTCCAATTGCAAGATAATATGAAAGGTTATTTCAATACAATATCTTCTAAATTTAAAATACAATTGTTTGGAACCTATTTTAAATGAACCAAACCAAATCTTACTTTCTCTTCAAACTCATTAATCTAGACACCTACAATTCTTTGAATTTAGGTGATATCTGGGACCCTTTTTATATATCTAAATTTTGTGATTCTATAAAATACATTATCAATAAAATAATGACTTAAATTATTTTTTGTTTTGCCTTTTTTCTTTCCACAAAATGCAGGTGGCCATTCACACATAGGAAGGATAATTTGGAAATATATTAATCATATAGACAGAAAAATTCTAAACTAGAGTAGGGCATGAC